ACCCAGGCTCCCCCCGACTAATTTGGTGCAACCCGGCGAATTAACGAGGACTCAAAAGACGTCTGCAGCCGACTCCATCGGTCACCTGCGACCTCAACCGCACTGGAGCAAAGGTTGGGTCGGGCATGTCCCCCTGCAGGCCGATTTTGGGTGAAAAATTAAACACACATAGCACATGTTCAAAAATAATCAAATAACAAAATCGCCCCCCAGAGACCAATTTTGAATACTCCTCCTGTAGAGGGACAGGCCCGACTTAAAGCAAAGGACCCCTGACGCAGGCTGTGGCTCGAGCGCGCGCCTCCCTCGTCCACCTCTGCCGGCGGGGAGCAGGCTTGACGACCAGCGGCGCTTTCGAACGCGACGAGATCGACACTCGCTCTGGAATCGGCTCGGACCTCGCTTGCCCAGGAGGGGGAGGAGGAGGGGGAGGAGGAGGAGGAGGAGGAGGAGGAGGAGGAGGAGGAGGAGGAGGAGGAGGAGGAGGAGGAGGAGGAGGAGGAGGAGGGGGGGGGGGGGAGGCCCGCACCAGTGCAGGAAAGGGGTGGCGAGCTGGGCCTGACCAGGCCTCTCGTGCTGATCCTCAGAGGCTCCGCGGCCCCGCGTGGCTCGCGCGTGCAAGCCCCCCCCCAAAACAAAGCCGAGGGGCCAACCACGAACTACGAGGGTCGACGTCTCGGGGCCCCCTCAAAGTCCCCAGAACTCTGAAGGGGCCCAAGGACACACAGATGAATTCACACAAACAAAATGATTCCCCATATGTTTCAATATTTTCTGGAGTTTTGTCTTCCCCCCCACTTCCCATATTTTCCCATACTTTCGTGGGAATCGGCATTCATTGTGTCTGTGTTTTTGTTGTCCCTCCTGAAACTTCCCAGTTCGCCCCAGCCTGTCCAAACACCTCCTCGATCCTCGATCCTCGAACCCACCCCCTGTCGGGCGTTGGCAGAACTGGGTTTAGTGGAACCTGGTTTAGAGATGTGTACCGGGGGCGCCCCCCCGTCCCATTTCCACTAACCGGAACGGCCGTCACCCGAAAAACACCAGTTACGGCAAACCTGGTTTAGTGAATCTGGCCAGTTGAAGGGCCCCAGGGCCCTACCACTAGTCGGGTCCCCTTACCCGGGGTCCTGGCTATACCCGACCATGGGTACCGCCTGACTTATGCTGAACTTCCAAAGTAGCCGGCCGAAGCAGACAGCCGGGGGGCAGGCTCCTCAGCAAGATGAGAAGGGGCCCCGCTGCGGAATCTATACAGGGCAGTTTTTAACACATGGGACTCATATATATATATATATATGTGATTTTTAATACATGATCAATGTATGAAACAATTTATGCATGAACTCATCGTTGTCTTTAATACTGAACCCCTGCATCTCTAATACATGATCCGCACGCGGAGCATGTATCGAAAAACGGCACTGTATGGGCACCGCTCCGATCCCAGTGGCCTGTACCCGGAGACTCCTCCAGCGCGTGGAAGCCGACGTGCCAGACATCTGCGCGTCACCCCGCAGTTGCAGGTGAGAAGTGGGGAGACGGCGGGGTCCTCGGCGGTCTGCGAGGTGCTGAAGAAGCCCGCCACGGGCGCCGACGTATCTGCACATTCCAGGCCCGCCGCCCGGGGGCCCAGGCGTGCCCGTGGGTGCGAGGGGGTGCCCGGGGGTGCCCTATAGCCCTATAGCCCTAAGCCCTATAGCCCTATAGCCCTATAGCCCAATAGCCCAATAGCCCTATAGCCCTATAGCCCTACAACTCTATAGCCCTATAGCTCTATAGCCCTCTAGCCGATTTTTCGTCAAAGGTAGCGGGCGGGTGGCAGGACGGGTCGCGGGGTGGGTGGCGGGTGGGCCGCGGGTGGGTCGCGGGGCGGGTCGCGGGGTGGGCCGCGGGCCGGCCGCGGACGGGCCGCGGGCCGGGGCGACGACAGCAGCCAACAGCAACAAGGATCGCAAGGCTGCTCGCTCACGTCTGCTCGCGCGCCACTCGCCACGTAGGTCCCAAACCCTCGGTACCCGCCCCCTACGTCTTCGATCGTGCCCCCTGGGTGTATTTCTTCACTGCCTGCCACGCGTATTCAGCGCAGCCCCGTGAACAGGGGGAAAGAAGACGGCTGGAAGGGGGAGGGAGAAGGATGGAGCACGAGAGAGATGTGCAGGGGGGGCTAGGAGCACAAAGCACGTGGGTAGCCCCTAGGGGGCGTATCAGGAAGGCGGGCCCAGGCGGCCAGATTCAAAAGGCGGGTTGCTGAAGCGTGAGTTCTGCATGAATCGTGAGGAAACCTCAAGCGATAGCCTGATTCCCAAGTAAATCGTGAGAAACGAGCAAGAGCGTGATCCCTGAGTGTCGAGGGCGCGGCGTCTGGATTCGCCCGCCCAACGACCCAGAGGCGCGCTAAAATCTCTGATGCGAAACTAAAAATGTTTCTACATCGCGCGCGCGTGGCGGGCCCTGGGGGCCCCCAGACCGAACAAAAAACGGCTAAATCCCGGCAGGGTCCTGGCAAGTCCTGGCAGGTCCGGATCAGAGATGCAGGAACTCTTGGGCGTGGCCTCGGGTGCTCCCAAAACGCCCCAATGAGGCGCCAAATCGGTGGCAGGCCCCATGGCCTCGGGCGGAAAACGTTCCAAGATGGCCCAAGTTGGTCCCAAGACGGCCCGAGAAGCGCCAAAGACGCCCCAGGAGGGCCCGAAGAGGACTTCGAGACGCCCAGGGGGCACTAAAACCATTGATTTCGCGACAGTTTTCAAACGATTTTGGCGGCACCACCTTTTCGGGCTGCTGACCGCCATGGACGGCCCAAGAGGCCACCCAGGTCGCCCCAGAACAACCTAAGACACCCCCAGGGCGGGCCCGAGACGGCCCCAAAGAACAACAAAACGATTCAAAACTCTCCCCAAAGAGCTCACGAAGCTCCTGCGTACGCCCCAGAAGGGAGCACTCGACCCGACAGATCGAGCCTTCCCCGAAAGTTCGCCCCCCCCGCCGCCAACAGGCGCCCGGGAATCCTTCAAGATCGCCCAAATCGGTCCAAAAAGTGCCCGAAAAGCGCTCCAAAAAGGTTCCAGCATGATTTCGAACATCATTGATGTCACACTGGCTTGGGGACGAATTTGGCGGCACCACCATTTCGGGGTGCCGGCCGCCCTGGACGGCCCAAGGGGCCACCGATATCGCCCCAAGACACCCCCAGACGGGCCTCAGACATGTCTTATAGTTAACGTGGATGTCGTGGCTATAGGGGGTGACATTCGGCGGTGGACAAACCTCCCTTTAGTACACCTCCCCTTAGTGAAAACGGCCTGGGACCGAAACCGACGGACCTGGACCCGCAAAAATGACGGCCGCGACGCCCTCTCGCGAACCGAAAACGGCCAATTCGCTAATCGACGTGTCAGGGTAGGAGGTCTGTCCACCCCCGAGACATGGGCATTTCTGTCCCTAGTTGAAAATCCGCCGGCCCCCTTGTGGGGCCACCAGGCTGTAGGCCCGTGATTCGCAGTTTCCTGTACCAGTCGTAGTTTGTAGTTTCCAATGTTAAAGTTCTGCTTCTTGCTGGTTACTGTAACTAATTGATTGACCGCGCGAGGGGGGGGGAGGCCCAAACGGAATTTTTAGCGTCTCCTGGGCGCGTTGTCTGAATTGCTGGGGGGGCTCGAAATCGACACCCCTCACGCAGATCCGCGGGGTCAGGGTCCAAAAACACAAGGGGATTTGCCACATTTCTGAAATTCGGTGCCACCCCTCACGCAGATCCGCGGGGTCAGGGTCCAAAAACACATGGGATTTGCCACATTTCTGAAATTCGGTGCCACCCCTCACGCAGATCCGCGGGGTCAGGGTCCAAAAACACATGGGATTTGCCACATTTCTGAAATTCGGTGCCACCCCTCACGCAGATCCGCGGGGTCAGGGTCCAAAAACACAGGGATTTGCCACATTTCTGAAATTCGGTGCCACCCCTCACGCAGATCCGCGGGGTCAGGGTCCAAAAACACAGGGGATTTGCCACATTTCTGAAATTCGGTGCCACCCCTCACGCAGATCCGCGGGGTCAGGGTCCAAAAACACAGGGGATTTGCCACATTTCTGAAATTCGGCGCCACCCCTTACGCAGATCCGCGGGGTCAGGGTCCAAAAACACAGGGGATTTGGCACATTTCTGAAATTCGGTGCCACCCTTCACGCACATCCATCGCAAGGCGTGGTAACCCAAACTGCGAGAACTCCCTCGGCCCTTTAATCGCAAGGTGTGGTAACCAAGCCCGTAAACCATACACGTCTTACCAATCGCCAGGTGTGGTAACCCCTTTTGTGATCAGTTGGTTTTGCTGATTGAATCGGCTTCGCATGAAGTTTCGATACTGCTTCACGACAGCGCCAAGGCCTCATGACTTAGCTCTTCCATGGCGCATTCTCCGAGAGAGGGGGCCGGCGGCAGGGGGCGAAGCCCTTACGGATTACACTAGAGAAAAACCCAAATCTGTGGATGGTTTCGCTGAGGAGATCGACCGGGAACCCGGGAGCCCGTGAACCCAAAACCGACCGAAATCGGCCCGGACCAATAACCGGGAACCCGGGAAACCCGGAACCGGGAACCCAGGAACCCAGCCTGCCACCAAACTCGGCGGGGAACTTTCGCCAAATCTTTCAACCTTCGCTAGGACCCCTTCAGTGCAAGCACTGATTGGGGAGTAAGTTTGCCCAAACTTCGCCAGGGAATCGCGGATAAGACGCGAAGACCATTTTAAAATCTGAAGGGGCTCTGGGACACACAAATACATACACACAAATGACAGGATTCCCACAATAGTGTCCCACATGTTCTGGGTTTCTGTCCTCCCCCCCACTTCCCATATTTTCCCATACCTTCTGGGAGTCGACGATTAATTGTGTCTGTGTGTGTTTTTTCCCGTCCTGAAAAACAGCGGGGCCGAATCTGACCCCCCCGCCGCCTCGCCCTCGCGGCGCTCCTTCCCCAGGGCGCCCGACGCGCGCCGTAGCGAAGGGGCCCTGGGACACACGAATCAATAGACACGGATAGCAGGATTCCCCATATCTTCCCCCATGTTCTGGGTGTTTGTCTCCCCCTCCCTTTTCCCATACTTTCCCATACTTTCTGGGGAAGCG